TGTTCAATTTCAACTTTAGCCATCATTTCTGTAATCGGTTATGTAGTGACTATAAGCAACCAGAAGAAAGACTTGTGCGCAGATTTAGCAGTTACTATTACTCAACAAGATGTTTCTATAGTCTCCATCAGATCTATGCTATGTTTTGCGTTTCAAACCTATATGTCTAAATCAGAAATGTTATTTCCGTCCAATTAGCTCAATTTAGCAAAGTATCTCTAATTTTAAGTCTACAACTCCTCAGTTGTCGTATATTTCTCCTGAATTTATTATTTCATGTCCATATTACTTTTATTTTAAATTAGAGTCCCTAAACAGCTTCATGATACTTATCAAAATATGGCTCCCTTTATCTTCATTCCTACTGCATAACATCATTATTGCTTCATGCATGCATACCGCTTTCCCATTACATTTATTCCCAATATTTTCGATACATATTTAAAACTATGCATCAACTAATATTTGCATGTATGTTTCTATTTTTATGAACATTTTCAAGTGTTTCAATGTTTTCAACTTGTCTCTCTTTGGATAAGAAGCAAATTAAATTATGTTATATACTTATTTCTTCCACTGAATTCCTAAATTTATTGTCATCAGTTATATTATTTATGATAATATTATTGTTTATAGCCTATATTCTTCTTTCTGGTTTCATCTCCTCTCCATATTCATCTTCCCGTCCTACACTTCTTTCATGTTGAACATCTGTGTGTATTTTCGTCATAAGTTCATGTTTTGCTTCCTTTCATCTACTGTCTCTCTTAATGTTACATACCAGTGTTGAATTTCTTTCCATGAAACAATAAACTTATTTATGTCGGTAAATAATGTGAGTAATAAGTTAGATGATATTTTACCACCAAATACGTTGATTGAAGTCTTACATATCTTTCGTGTGAAATATTTACTACTACTAATTAAATAAGTAGTGTTTCGATTAACCTCATAAATACTACAAGAATGAAACTCGAATGTAATTACATATATAAGTAATTGCGCCGCATCTCTGATCAAGAAAAGTATAGTATCTATACTATACTCGTTAATGTTTGTTATGTTTCCCATACTTAACTTTCGTCGTTCGTTTTTTTTCAAAAAAATTACTCGTGAACACTATCCACTTCAACAAATATTCCATCAGAATGAATGATATTTACATAGGTGAAGTGACAGTATTATTTTATATTCGAAGTTTCAATTAGTTAATTAAATGTCAGTGTTTATTTGCTCATGACATGTCAGTTGTCAAAGAACTATAATTAGTTTGCGGGTAACTTTTTTATAGAGGGAGAGTAACATAACTATTTGTTGATGTATTACGACGATTTACTTAGTTATGGCTAGCAGGGGAATCTAGGACGCGCATTTCGTCCCATTTGAGACTCGTCAGCTGAATTTACCTGCACCCCGGTGGATGTTGTTGTTCCCGCTGAAACTCTAGCCTCGTACCCATCGCTTCAAATGCCACAGCGTTATCCACCAAGCAACTGAGGCACAATAGCCACCTCTTGTACAACGGTATTAGTTATTACTATTTGTTGATAAACCTGTAGTTCTCCTTTGTTATACTGAATCGAATTGTTCGACTTCTATTAGCATATGGGCTCCTATGTGGATGCCTCGATATTACCTGAATACTTATTATGCTGATCTACTTGGTTGTGGATAGAAGGAGGGATCCTATTCGGGACTTTACTTTCCAAATTGGGGTACACTTTGCGCGATAAAAATCACTGAAAAAAGTTGTTTATGTAATCCTTAGATTTATCATTCCTCATAAGATACGGTTATTTTTATCTGTGTCAACAAAATTTTCATTGTGATATAAAATATTGGTGTGATACATATTTGGTGTTGTCTTTGAACTAAGTTGACATGGATCTGTGAAACTTAATTCTGAACTGCTTTGTACACGTCAAGAAAAGAGTGTAGGTATATACTAGACAATACGCGAAACCTCTTCGTATATCAAGCCTATCCTTTCTATTCCTTCACTGAAAACATCAGGGACCAACTACTTAAACAAAAACTCTATCTTCACTATTTATTGACATACTTGCTATTCTCCGTTGTTTTGATGGATCGAATTGTTCGACCTCTATTGGCATATGGGCTCCTATGCGGATGCCTTGATATTGCCTGAATGTTAATTATGATGGTTTGGTTGGTTGTGGCCAGCAGAAGAATCCAGGACGCGCGTTTCACCCTATTTGCGACTCGTCATTTGGATGTACCTGTACCCCAGTGGTGCTGTTCCCACTGAGACGCGAACCTCGTGTTCATCCTTCAAACGCTATAGCGTTACCCATTACGCCACCAAAGAACGATAGCCACTTCTTGTTTTCTACCATAACAACAAAAACACACACAATAATTCAAGTGATATGTATTCTCTTTCCTAAGAACTCTTGACTATTCATAGTTAGTTTACTGCTTTCTTTGTTTTCAGTGATCACATGTTAGTTAGAATAACACCAGATAACACTACTGGCATCTCATGCATAGATATATGCAACTTTTTCGCATTTTCATCTTTAACATTGGTAACTCTACTTGTATTTTAAATTATCCCCTGAAGGAGTACAATGTGTTCAATAACTAAATACCATGTCTTAAGTGAACATAAATAATGAATTTGCGGTGAATTAGCACATTTTATGTTGTTTCATTCCAAGATACTTATTTTGCGATAAATTCGTACTGTTTGCTTTTCCTTGATTTATGAACTATAAATTACTCTTCAACATTGAACATTTGCGTCCACTTACTTTGTTAAGTTTTTTGTGAAGTTTGACTACCCGATATATTTATTAGCCTTCTTTTAAAAAAAGACATACCGCACGATGTTATATTGATCTCAGTGACTAGCAGAGGAATCCATAATGCACGTTTGTCTTATTTGGGATTCATCAGCTGGGTGTACCTGCACCCCAGTAAGTGATATCGTTCCCACCGGGTTCGAACTCAGTAACCTTCGCTTCAAACGCCAAAACGCTGTCCACCAAGCCACTGGGTCACGATAGTAGCCTCTTGTAGAACAGATGTCAGTTGTTGTGATGATACTTATAATTTCTCGTTGCCATACGAGGCCGAATTGCTTGACCTCTGCTGGCAGATGGGCTCCTATGCAGATGCTTCGATGCTGTCCGGTGTTCATGATGTTAAATTGAGGTGGCTATCGTGCGTTGATGGCTTAGTTAACAACGCTTTGGCGTCTGAAGAGAAAGATACTAGGTTCCCGCCTCGTTGGGAGCAACATCACTCACTGAGGTGCAGGTGCATCCGGCTGGTGAGTCCCAAATAGGCCGAAAAGCGTGTTGTAGATTCCTCTGCTAGTCACCAATATCAATATAACATCATGAGTATCCAGTAGTATCGAGGAATCCGGATAAGAGCCTATCTGCTAACAGAGGTCGAACAATTCAGTTCTGCATAGCAACGGGAAATAAAAGTATCGTTACTGTGTGTGTCTACAGGCTTAGTTATCCAACTAACATGACGAATGGACAGTAAACCTTTTCATCTAGTAAAATGAAATGCCTATTTCTAGACTAAATATTTGAAATGCAATTTTGTACATCATCAAAAGTGTACTGAACGTTGTAAGTATCATTAATTAGCCAACATATAAAATATATTGAACATAAACACAAAAACATATGTCAAGTTTTTTACCAGTAGAAAAAAGCGGTTGACAGAATAACTGAATGACAACAAAGGTATGAAAAATAGCTTGACTAAATCATAAATTTTTTGAGCAATCAGCTACGGCTTAATAGTCTCATCCCAACCATTCGTTTAATTATTTATTACTTAGTGTTGGCTAAATCACATAATTCGTTACCAATCGTTCAACTTCACTGTAACTCTTTTGTCATGATTTAGTTTAATGATGATTTATCTTAGCTGTGCAGGCTATTTATGTGGTATGGCTCAAATCGACCAAAGTAGCGTAGAATTATTCACTCTCATCATCTGTAATATTTGAGATGATTTGATGGTACAACTAATTACTTGGTTGCGATTAGGAGAAAAGTCCAGGACGCACGTTTCATCCTATTTTAAATTCATCAGCGAGACGAACCTGAATCCCAATGAGTGTTGTTCCCACTGAGATTTGGACCTTGAACGCCGAAGCGTTACCCACTAGGCCACCGAGGCGCGGTTGCCACCTCTTGTACAACGGGTACAGGTCGAACATTTAGATCCAGTAAAACAATGGAGAATTACAAGCATATCGACAAATAGTAATAACTAATACCCATTGCACAAGAGGTGGCCATCGTGTGGGTTTCCAGTCTCAGTGAGAACGACATCACTTACTGGGGTACAGGTGCATCCAGCTGATGAGTCCCAAATAGGATGAGATGCGCGTCCTGGATTTCTCTGCTAGCCATGTCCAAAAAAACACAATAATAAATATTCAGGCAATATCGAGGCATCCACGTAGGAGCCCATATACTAATATAGGTCGAACAATTCGATCCAGTATAACAAAGGAGAATTACAAGCATATCAACTATTAAGGAATATGTTTTCGTCGTCCCTACCATCTTTTCCTACCATTTCCCTACGAAATTCTTCTACTCCTATCAATTTCGTCTTCATGTGATATTGTAAACTATGTTCGCTCCAAGTGCTGTTTTTGAACTGGATGTTCTGCATTATTTTCTATTAGTCTATTTACTCACTGGTTATTTTGCAGCCATGAATTCAATCTACTCTCAGTGACTATATACTTAACCTTCTAGATGGAGGTTTTTTGTTTCAGCAAAAATATCACTACCATGGTGATAGGTTACGCAGATTGCTGCTTCCCGAAATATGGTGATGATGATAGACAAGGTGTTTACAAAACAATTCATGAATGTACTCAGTAAATTTATTCAAAATGTTGCATACTACTTGCTAATTAGTAAGCAGTGTAAAAATATCAGACAAACTAGATTGTGAAAGTGACACCATCGTTTTTTAAATTTCTTTTCGTTCTTTAGGTGCTTTATCCTTATCAGTACGTGATACTGAGCAGCAAAGAGGTGAGACTGTCAAACATTATAAAATAAGACAGTTTACTGAAACTGGTGATGTGTACATAACTACAAAACAAGTCTTTCCTGATTTAAAATCATTGGTTAAACACTATTCTACTCAATCAGATGGTTTATGTTGTTGTCTTACACGTCCATGTCCAAGACCTCCTCCTGTACCAACAGATTTATCCCGGTTAACAAGAGATCAATGGGAAATATCCCGTTCTTCACTGAAATTAATTGAACTATTAGGCGCTGGACAATTTGGTGAAGTCTGGAAAGGTAAATTATATATTTATTGTATCAATATTGTCATTGTGGTACTAACTCATCATTTACGCATATTTAATATTGTATCACTTTATTATTATTCTTTATTGAAGCCTGAAGCATTTTTATAACTTATGTATAATAGATTCGTTCTATGTTTTAAATATTTTTAACTAAGTTATTTGTAACAGTGAAGATTAAGCAACATTTTACTGGCTACTTTCTTTTGGTATTAAGTGTAAGGTATCAGTAGTTTCCACTAGGAACCCAAGGGAAAAAAAATAATCAATAGACAGCCTTGCACTTATATGACAAATAGCAATAAACACCATGAGCTATAGCGCAGCGCCACTTAATCCAGTAGCTACATTGTAAGCTTAGTCGATAGACTTTGAGGAACACTTAAGGCTTTACAGCTCCATCGCTCACTATCCAGTGACCAATTCATGGACAATGGTTGTGTGTATTTTACTTAGTTCAAGATCGAAAATACTTAGTGTTACTAAATGGTGTACACCCAACCTTTTGAAGGAGCATTACCTGCCTCAGTCTGCAAATATAGTCTGGTAAAGACCACTTATAAGTAACAGAGAAATCCCCATTGTTCACTTCAAATGACATAACAATAGTGTCCATTTTTTGGTTGTTACTACGGAAACCTTCAAGATTCATGAAATCCTAGAGCTTCCTTTCAGGTTCGAGGCTTGCTTATACGCGTCCAAAAACTTGTTTGGAATTCAGCGATAATCTATGATCTCTAAAAGATTCTCATTTTCATTGCTCAAATTTATTGTTAATTATTTTGATTTCCAGCTATGGAGTGAATGGTTATTACTGTCACAACTAGATCATATACATAGTTTGGTTAATACGCGTTAATTAACAGTAATAAAAGTTCACTGACCATATTTTGAAACTTCTCCCAGAATATTCTACTTCGCCCGACACTAGTGGTGGAAGTAACTAAAATATATAGGAAACATGGTAGAAAAAAGAATCATAGATTCAGAGTAATAAACTATAGAAAACTTAGAGGATTGTCTCTGAATATATCTTTACCATTGCAACTAAGCCACTAATTTTGATTGTATCATGAACTTTAACTCAGAGTTCCATCGTTTTTTTACATCAAAAAGATGAAAAGTCTTAGACTTCATGGATTATTCTGTTCACCGTAAGATTTCTTACTCAGGCAACATTAAATATAATAAAGTTTAATGTCAAATGATTCGAGTTTGCTTTTATATTACATTTCTTAATGTATGTTTTTGATAAAGAGCTATATGAGCACTGCAGAATACTATTAAAAGAAGACAAATTGATTGTAGACAAAATTTGTAAAAAACGCAACAAAGGATTTCATTAAATCAACATTAGATTTGCACCCAACACAGATAAAATGTCGCTTGTTTAGAGAATTTCTCATATACTACAAATCTCCTTTTCATACACATATTCACATTTATGAGCTTGAATAGAGGAAGAATAATGATTGGAGGAGAGTAAAATGGCACCATTTTATTTCACCAACTTCTCATCAGCTGCTTACAATCTAAAACATTTAAATATCAGTCAGCAAAGAGTTTGAACTGACCTTAGTTTATAGAGAACAAAATGGTTTAATAAAAAATGCGAACATTCGAAAAAAGTTAACAGGATATGCTAAGAAATTTCAGTTATGCATCTGATTCAACAAAATAACATGAATAGTTAAAAAGGGATTTTGTAAGAAGAATATCAATTCGACTAGTTGATGAGAAAGAGCAGAAAAAGTATGTAATATTAAAATGAGCTGATCTCAGTTGGTAGAATGATCATCAAAACTATGTACGAACAGATAGAAAAAAATTCTACTAATGATGGAAAGTGGCTAACAGTGGAATCCAGGACGTACGTTTTGTCCTACTTGGGACTTGTCAACTGGATGTACCTACCTTTCAGTGAATATTATCCCCACCGGGACTCGGGACCGATTCACTTTAAACGTGAAGGTGTTATCCACTAGACCACCAAGCTGCGATAGCTACTTCTTGTATGTTGGGTATAGTTTTGATGCAGTTACTTGTAATACAAGCAATAATACCAGATAACAAGTTCAGTTTAATGTCACCAAATAAGAGGAAGAGTAAAATATTGGATTACTAAGGCAAAGAAAAACTGATCACTGCTTTTATGGAACATACAATTCCAGTTTCCCTCATTTGGTCACTATGGTCATAGCGAATTTGAGTGGCTGCATATCATGTTATTTACTGGTCACCTTGAATTATTCTAAAGTATGTCTTGTGTCGATAGAATGCTAAGTGACTGCACTACTAGTCATTCTGTTATCCTAAATCAGTGACTGGATATTGCTTAACCCATTTTTTCTCTTATCTACACAATTTTTTATTTCACACAGGTAAATGGAATGAAACAATTGAAGTTGCTGTTAAAACACTAAAACAAGGAACAATGACTAAAGAAGAATTTCTCAAAGAAGCACGTATTATGAAACAACTACATCATCCTCAACTTGTACGCTTATATGCTGTTGTTACAGCTGAACCAATATACATTGTCACTGAATTAATGACACATGGAAGTTTATTAAAATATCTACGTGATGGTCCAGGCAAAGAATTAGATTTAAAACCATTAATTGATATGATGGCACAGGTAAGACTATTATTATTATTTTTCCTTTGGGTTCCTAGTGGAACATAGAGCCTCAGTAGCATACCTCCATTGAACTCTGTCCTCTGCAGTCTTTGAACCTCACGCCACGACTGCCCACAAGCTTTCATTTCCTCCTCACATCATCTTCTCCATGTCACCGTCGCGTCGGACGCCCAACTCGTCGTTTCCCCTTTGGGTTCAACTCCATGGCCTGGCGTGTGATGTCCCCGAATGGTCTTCTCAGTGTATGCCCAATCCATCTCCACTTTCTTCTGCATATCTGTTGGGCGATGGGTTCTTGCTTCGTTGCCAGAGTTCCCTGTTGCTTATTATTCCTGGCCATGTAATCTTCAGTATCGGAACGGCGTAGGCGGCAGCTGTTGATGGAATGTCTGTAATTTGTTGGAAACGCTTTTCATGACACGCTAAGTTTCTGAACCATATAGGAGCACTGACTTGACATCGGTGTTGAAAATCTGGATCTTGTTCCACATGCTGAATGCAGTAGATCTCCACAGTGATTATTTCAGATTAATGAAAGCCTGTCTTGCTTTTCCGATCCTGGTTTTGACATCCTCATCTGTGCTGCCTATAGTTGAAACGTTGCTGCTTACGTAGGTGGGCTGGTGTGAGAGACAACTTCCTTTAGGTTTCTCCCGTTCATGGTGATTGGTGCTTGTTGTTGTTATCGGTTGGGTATCTTCATCACCTCCGTCTTCTCTACATTTACTTGAAGTCCCGTTTTCACTGCCCTGCCTCTTCTGTCAACTTGTTAGTTTCTGCCTGTAGATATTCGAGTTTGTGCAACAACACATTAGACATAAATCATGATTGGCGAAATCCAAATATTCTAGGGTCTTCTCATCGGTCCAGCTAGTGTATGCCCATCTCACTCCTCACTTTCTTCTGCATGCTCCAGTCCACCGCAATCAGGAAGATCATGGGTGATAGTAGGCAGTCTTGTCTTACTCTTGTCTTCACTTCAAAGGCGTCACTGAGCTTCCCATTATGAATCACCTGGCATGTGGCGTCGTCATATAGCTGTTGAATGGGGTTGTTAAGATTTGTGGCACTCCATAGTGTTGAAGTAACTACGAAATTACACAACTAAGACAACAAATATATTTAATTCAGTTGTATTTCTTTCTGAACCTGAAAATTTTGAAAGCCTTCCACTACTGAATAAAATGAGTAGTTGAACACCTAATTGTCAACAACTTTCCTTATTATTAACTAATTTATTTAACTATTTTTCTGAAAAAAATATGTCGGTTAACAATACACTGAACTGATCAACTATACTGGATACTTAGCTCATGATTTTGTACCGTTGACTCAACTGAAAGATGATTATCGCCAAATACCTAATTGAGTGATTATCAACATATATCAGCTTGCTTGTTAACCGACTATATGTAAGTGTATATTCAGTGACGATGTAAATCAACAGGACTGATGAAATAGAAAAGAAATAGTCACTTATCTACAAAATATAACTTTTAACTATATAAAAGATAGCCAGTAATCACTCATATATATTAGCAAGGTTAATCGGTTATCAATATATTCTTAACAATTAATGTATAAAGCTATTGTTTTGTCTTGTATAATATTTACCTGAATATGCTTAACTTTAGATCAGAGATGAAAATGTCATTGGATATATGTTTATTTCTTTCACTGAAATTCTTAGTTTAAATAATTAAAACTTCCCATTCTATACATATTAAAAGTCAAATATGAACGAAGAATATTCTTTTCAATAACTTCTCATCAGCTACTATAGTTATACAAACAATTTTGTTAAGACATAAATAATAGGCTAAATTTGCGGCAAATAGATTTAGGAATGGGTATGAAATTAGAATCTGACCCTTTTAGATTGTGGAGAGTGTAATTTGTAGTGGTAAGTTGAGTGTAAACTTTGTCAATTGATTAATGATCAGACGTATATGGGGAAGGGGTAAATTAATAGTAAAGTTCAGGGTTTCACATTGTATCGAGTGCGTGATTACGTCATCATAAGATGGTTAATTTGTGAAACAACTAAGATAATGAGAGTGGTAATAATGTAATAAAATAACAGGAATTTTAAAGGTTTATTATAATAAGATGGGAGGAGGATCAGGTTAAAAATAGTTGGATTAATAATAATAATAGTCTGCCAAACTACGGCTATCTTAGTCAAATCATAATCAATATGATGTCCCCCCTCTCTGATTCACCTAGATTTAGACTGGGATGAGAAGTCCTGACTAGGCAGCCAGTTTGAATACGACCAAGCGATAGCAATGCTTCACGAATTCACATGGTAGTCAGGCAAAACCCTTGGTGATTGAAGTGAAATAAAAATCTGGTCAGCAGTCAGACGTCGTACCTCAGTTGGTAGAACACCGGGCTGGTAACTCGGTGGTTGCTGGTTTGAATCCGGCCGTAGTCCAGATTTCCATCTCACCTTCAATCATTACCCAGTACAAATAATAGTTTAGTTTTTTTTATTTTAAAAGGAAAGAAAAAAAGAGAGCGGAGATGAAAAAGAACGATTAAGAAAGAAACAAAAGAGTTGAGGGAATACCGGTTAGTCAATGTAAGGCCAATGGAGGAGTAGGGCTTGGTATAAAGTTCAAGCTTCATTGATCTTATAACTACAGCCTCCGTTATATAGATGGAGAATGCATAAACGAATGACATATGGTAGAGTCTTCAGAACGTGGTGCATCACAGTGAAAGTTCTGCTAGCATCTTATAATGATATATTTACTCCATTTCTACCCTTAGGTAAATTCATATCATCATTCTTTGTACTAACCACTCACTCGATATAATGTAAAACCCTGAACTTTATTATTAATTTACCCCTTCCCCATATACGTCTGATCATTAGTCAATCGACAAAGTTTACACTCAATTTATCACTACAAATTACACTATCTACAATCTAAAAGAGTCAGTTTCTAATTTCATATCCATTCCTAAATCCATTCACCGTAAATTCTGCCTATTAGTATCTTAAAAAAATTGATTATCATTATTTATTGGCATACTTGCTATTCTCCGTTGTTTTGTTAGATCGAATTGTTCGACCTCTATTGGCATATGGGCTCCTATGAGGATGCCTCGATATTGCCTGAATGTTAATTATGATAATTTGATTGGTTGTGGCTAGCAGAAGAATCCAGGACGATGGCAAAAGGCTGATTCAAATGCCTTGTTCTTCATTTTTAGTCTAAGATCTTCGGCAGATGCTGAGATAAGTGCTCGTGTTTTATCTAGGATGAAACAGAGTGCCCTAATATAACACTCCAAGAAATCACAGTTGAGTGTTAGAGACTCATGAACTTGAAGTATGACTCAGCAATGGTTGAAAATGCAAATTATTCAGCAAATATTAACAAAATCAGTCAGAAAAGGTGTACATCTACTGACCATTCAAAAAGTAAAAACAGTAGGCTGAAATCACCAGCATGTTGGCACTATGGTGGCATGCATTAAGTGTTCTCGACGAGATCATGCAGAGGACCATTGCAGTTTTAAACGCCTAAATCAACCACATCTGTATTAAAAAAGGTGTCAGTATAAAAACTTCAAATCAAATGCATTTATAGCACTGCAAAGAAGCGGACCAGCATCACGAAGAAAATATATATCTATAAAGATTAACGGACAGCAGGTTCGTTTACAGTTTGATACAGCTTCTGACATAACACTTATCAGCTGTCAACCTAAAATTCATCCAACTGCTCAGTGTATCACATTATCAGTTACATATTATTGGTGAAGTTCATTGTACTGTTGTGCATGGCAGTGAGACGTCTAATGGAATACTATACCGGACAGATCAATCACCTTTAGATCTTGGTTTAAACTGAACAATAAACCTTTATCTTTTTTGCCGCCTTTTTTTGTTTTCAAGGAGCCGAGAGATTAACGGCGAAGTCCAAGATTATTGTTCCAGAGTCCACTCTTATATATATATATATATATATATATATATATATATATATATATATATATATATATATATATATATATATATAGTTAAGTGACTCTTGAGTAAGTGTATGCCATTTTTGAACATTTATTTGCCATCCATTTTTTGCAACACTTTCAACTCGCTCCTGGTCATTAGTACACACTGTCCAAAAGTCTCAAAATCGGATATAACAGTTGTCTTGTAGTCACCTATTTCTACAAAGCCTTGTCATTTGATGATAAATAAAATTTTCCAATGAAGGCAACTACAGTTCTGTTCTCTAAGTATTCACTGCACATATCATAAATCAATAGAATTCGGTCAGTACTCAAAACTAGACAACATGAAATTGGTTGTCTTTTAGTGACCAGTCCTACAAGATGACAGCCGTAACCCGAATGAGTCGGCGGTAACGTCGCTGAATTCAACTTTGGGTGACGCAGGTTTGGATCTCAGTGGCAACATAACTTCTCTTGAGGTTGCAGATACGTGTTGCTGACGGAGTGCCAACAAGCACGAAAACTAGATGCAGGACTTCTTGCTGATTCCTTCGAACCAACTGACATCACTAAGATTTGTCTACTAATTCCCTCAACCTGCTAGCTTTTCTGGCTTATATTTTTCTTCTTTACAGATAGCTAGTGGTATGGCGTATTTGGAAAAAGAACATTATATTCATCGAGATTTAGCGGCAAGAAATATTCTTGTCGGTGAAAATAATATCGTGAAAGTAGCCGATTTTGGATTAGCTCGAATCATTGACAATGCAAATGAAACATATACAGCTAAACAGGTAATATTTTCAAGAACTGTTTGTATTTTCCATACTATTTCTCAAGTAGAATTACTTATCTCTGCCTTCCATATCACTTTCTGGTTTAATGGACTCTCTTGACCAAGTTTATTATTCAGTATGTAAATGCCCCAATCACCTTTAATTTTAATCAGCTATAAAAATTTACTGGTTTGATTTTGTTTGTTATAAGCATAGTAAAACTTGATCACATGAGTGCTTTACGATTGCTTCACACTCTTACCAACGAGTTACGATATAGTCCTATTGCATGACCGAAGTAAAAAAAAACGCATATAAAACACAAATGATGAATAGTATTGGTAACAAGCATAAAATGTTATAGTTAAGTTAGCTAAAAATTAGTTTCGTTGAGGATCATAAACAGAATGCAGTACTATAGGAGTAAAACTTGGGCACTATGATAGATTTTAATTCTATTTCAGTCTATTTATTAGATGAATTAAAATGGTTTAATTTAATGCTCAGAACTAATAATTCTAGTAGAATGTATGGTACTATTAAGATTCATAAGCCAGGTTATTGTATCACGCCTATAGCAGATTTTACAAACACTCCGACTTACGAATTGTCTGAATATTTAGGGATGCTAGTAGGCCTAATAAGAAACCATTCAAAATCCTGACTTACTAACTCTTATAACCTAAAGCATAGATCAGATGACAATGAAAAAAACGGTTAGTTTTGGTATAACTAGCCTTTACACGAATATACCGATTGAAATGGAACTAGAGGCAGTTAGAAATAGACGGCAATGAGCTTAAGCATCGAACTAAGGTTCGGGTCTCCTATCAGTTGATTCCATCTATTACCAAACAATCATCATCATTACCACTCATTTCCACTCTATTCCGGTAAATCAATGCAAAGAGAATTCGCTAATACTATTCACCACTTTATTCCAACTGAAATTGTATACACATCCACCTCATTCTTTTCAATTTGTACTTATAAAATTACCGAATGACTGTTACCAATGTCTTTTTTTTTGTCTGATATTTACAATCAAGACGAATTTGAATTGGAGTACATACATACATATGCTATACAACAAAAGAGATACAATTTCACACTGAGTGGATTAGTTATCATAATTTAGAAAGACAATGACTATACGAAGAGATTTGAATAAGCAGACGAAATACACGTTTTTTTGAATTCATTTATATATCCTTGATATTTTAGTTTTGATTATTTCCCTGAAGAAGCTCGGACCAGACTCCCATGCGAAACGTTGGAATTATTCGATTTCAAACACGCTGTGACTTAAATACAAAATATATATCTAATGTCAACCTTTTACTCAGCGCTCAATATTTGCCATACTATATGATCAAATCTTGATCATAGTTTATATAAATCTATCTTAAAGGTTGGGATGTCAGTATGAAATTTAGTTTAGGTTACCTATATAACTTTATTATTTTGTACCTGGTTGGGTAGAGTGACAGGTCGGTAACCTGGAGGTGACTGATTTACATTTTTCATATATAGTCATCATCATCTTTTGGATGTGAGAACCCATCTGTCAACCAAAACAATGTTATTTTTATGATTTTTTTTAATAAAAATTATTGATTCATTGCAAATATTTTTCAAATTATTTGTTAGGGTGCTAAATTTCCTATTAAATGGACAGCCCCAGAAGCTGCACTGATGGGTAGATTTACAATAAAATCAGATGTTTGGTCATTCGGTATTGTAATATACGAAATTATCACCTATGGACAAGTACCATTCCCATCAATGAATAATACAGAAACATTACAACAAGTTGAAAATGGTTATCGTATGCCATGTCCAGCTAACTGTCCAAGTGCTATTTATGAAGTTATGTTAAATACATGGGATGCTAAACCAGAGCGTAGGCCAACATTCGCTTTTCTATGCAGTTATTTTGAAGATTATTTTGCATCAGCTGAATTATCTTATCGTCCAGCTGAAAATAATCATCTTGATAATGATATTGTGAATATTAGTTGTACTCCGACTAGCAGGCATCAACATCATCGTCATCAGCCACATTCTCATATTAATTTCATTAGAAGTATACATGATCAGTTTTTTATAAATCAAGATACAACTATGCTATATAACAGTAATGATAACAATAATAATCATCAACAGAATGAACATTCTTCTTTGAATCAAACTTCAATCACTACAACACAACAGTTGACGACAACATCTTCTATTTGTACAGTACAAATGTGTTAGTCATTTTATCCGTTAAACAACTCTTGAACACAATATAAAAGACACATTCAGAATTCTCACTTTTTTATTCAACATTACCATATGTTTTATTCAAAGAAAAGAGAACATGCACAAATTTATTGATTCTTATTTAGTGAATCTCACTATTTTTTTTTCCTCCTGTATTTTAATTGTGCCTTACACTGTACGCATTCAATCATCTAATTCTGTTTTAATCGATACCATTGATCAGGGCTTAAGAAAGACAATATACACATTTTTCCTGATAATCTTTCTTAAATCTCAATTTTTTTTTATCGATACATATATTTACTTTCCCGGTGTTTTATTCAATAGAAAAAAACATTAACACTACAAGTGATGACAAGTACTGTAGCTTAACAGACAGTCAATTTTCATTTGTTCAATGTTCAACATTGAAAAACTGACTTGTTATGAGATATAGACTAGTGATGAAGTCAAATAAGCAAAATATAGAACAATATTTCTATGAGTACTAATTAATAATCAGCTATTCAACTCAACTCTCCTATCATCATAAACGCATCATACCCTAAGTCTTACACAGGCATATTTTTTATCTCCGGTATTATGCATTTCCATTAACTTTACTATTAATTCTTTTATCATACACATAAAACACTAATTATAAAAGAAAAAAAATTAGTTTTAAAGACTGTCTGAATTGTTGGCATGAAAAATCAATCCGTCTATTTTGGCGCCTAAATTCAATTTTCTTTAACTCATTGGATAACTATAGTCGAACTATTGTATTTTTCAACTTTAATCTTTTTGAAAATATGATTTATTTCGTTTCCTTAATCTCCTATTTATACTTGTAATCTGTAATTGTATATTTAATTAGATAATAGAAGTAAATTATCTGCTTTGCTATTACATCTAAGGTTTTATTTATAATAGTTTCAAGTGTATATGTATAATATGGATTGTAAAATTTTGTATCAAAACAATTTTGTTGAAGATAGTGACAATTATCATCAGGATCATCATTTTGGAAGTAAATTCATCAAAAATGAAATTGTATCTTTTTTGTTTTCATCCTCTTGACTCTCTGCCTTAACTCCTGGGTGATATAGCGCACAGATACTTTCTTTATTGAGAAAATAATTACATCAATGACAGTTTGAAACTAATCAAAGTTCGTGATTATATAAAAATGGCAATTGTATGTACATGTGCATGTTTATGGATATGTAAAATTTGTTTAGTTTACCCTTTTACTCTATCTCTTTTGTCATTTGTATTTATTTAAACAAACCTAGGATTTTTCATTTTATTGAACAAAAATAACAACCAATCATTAAGTGGAAATGTTGATTATCTTTTTGAACATTTTCATTATTTGGTTGCCTTCATATTTCTTTAGAGAAGAGAAAAAAAGAATGCTCAGGATGAAATGTGAAACCATGAGTTAAAAAAAAAACACAGCTCATTATACTATGCTACTTTTTCTTGTTGACTTATACCCTAGTTATGTGGAACAATGGTTGGTAGGTTTGAGCAGTGAACTTCCAACTAGTGAATTATGGATGTGAATCCCATTCCACTTATCAATGCTTTGCAGCTAGACAGTATATCATGAGAGCTTACAGAATAAATGTGGTCGATGGCCTAGGAGATCGACCTGGACATAACAGTTTAGTTTTATTAGTAATAGCTTGCACAGCTAGGACTATCTTACCCAGTGAAACATATCCTACTGATGAGGTAATAGGATGTAATCAATCGAAACGCAATGAGCCACACCCATTGTGTGAGAGCTGGCTGCTCAAACCTTGGAAGGTGGAGCCATAGCTCGAAGTACAAAAGTTCAGGATGTCTACTGAAGATACAGCGATTCAAGTTGATACAATTCATTGCAGAAAACACGAAAAGCCAAAAAAGAGTGAAATTTAATAAACATCTTTCTATTTATAAGTTTGGATAGCGCACGAATAAGTTGTGTTGTATAAACCTCATAATCCTTATCCGGAACCTTCAATAAAATACGTGTAAAAGAATACCTTGATAAAGGAACAATTATATGAAAGCTTTCCTGAAATATTTATAACCTATCAAATGTAAAGCTGAACCAAGTTGTATCTTAAGCACTTTCATGTTTCGAGAAATGTTACCGATAAAATGAGCGCAGAAGCTCAATTTGAACATTTATTTTATAAGTTGACAGATTTATGTCTAGTAAATGAGGATTGAAAGGGATGACTTGTATGGAAATCAGTTGGTATTACGAATCACTACCTTATTAACTCGACTCCACTATCGGAAATTTTGTCCAATGATCAATAAACAGCTCCAAAGCATTTCAAGGAGGATGGTGATATTAAGATTAGATAGGAGTTCAGGTGTCGTGACTGTATCATGAAGATGAATTTGATCTCAAGGTTACTTGGATTGACAACTACAAAAAGGCTTGACAGATTCGACAGAAAAACGAACCACAAGGATGCTAAAGGGACTCAGTCCAGAAATTGACTGGTCATTGTACATACAACGGTTTAAAGCCTTGTTTACCTTTTATGTATGGACTACCAAAGTGCACAGAGATTACTAAAACTGATAGAATTGATGATTACCTACCTTCATTAAAAGTTCATCACCGGTTAGCTGAAATTGCGACCTACTGGACAAATATAAGCACCATATAACTTGGAAGATCCATTCCACTTTGCTAAAAAAATCAAATCATATTACTCCCACTAAACGTTAGTAGCATCGTTTGATGCAACTTCCTTCCCAAAATGTATCTCACCACTAACCCATAGGTATTACTGGTTAAAAATCGGATTTTCCTTGTTTATCAAGTATCAGAGTTCAAGAAAACATAAGATAGTCAATAGGTGAAAACACAAATCTTACAAAGATAATTTAGTCCGCAATCGATCTTCCACAAGTAAAAAGTAGTGGATACACCTTGTACAATAGATGGTTGTCGTTACTCAGAGGATTCCTAAATACATTTTAGTGAATAAAGCAATGCAGTGAAACTGTAACTTACTGTTAAATATACATGATTTTCAATCAATGATTTACATATCCCAGCCCTGCTCTTCAATACACATGGTACTTATAAGAGGTTTCTGAATTATTTTAAGCGCAGAGATAATTGATAGATTTAAGCTCAACTGCGAACAGAACACAATAAAATGGATGCATTTAAACTTAACCAGTTTCAAGGGGGATATGCTACCAACTCACGAAGCCTTTGACTATCGGTCTATGCTACGCAAGGTGATCTAGGTTTCCAAATTGAGGTATGTAGGACATCCAAAGGAGACGAAGATCGTACGTGGCAAAGATTAAAAATACATCATAATGGTGCAGATGCGATAATAACTAGTCTTTATTCAAGTCATGATGTGATCTATTTTTATTGCTTTGTCATTTTTTGTCATCCTCTGGCTGTTTACCACTACTGATAATATAACATTCATGACTTTTTCTGTTCACATTTTTCATTTGCACGTAGATTTCTTAATGTAAAGTGTTGCACCTCAGATTGGTACACAGTAAGCCCAGATCACATTTTCTTGATATCTATCTGTTTAACTGGGATAAAACACTTTCAACTTTACTACCAACTAACAGCAAATATCACCAAAATGACGTAATATAAACGAGTGTATTATCCCCCAGCTATGTTGAACAAAAATTTGAACATGTGTGCACTCAACTTGAACATCATACAGTTTAGTTATGTCAAAAGTAAGCGAAAAAAAAAGCTGTACTCATCATACAAAGTATGCATATATGCATAGAAAAAGAAACGATTATACAGTTAAAGTTCAGGGAAAACCCCACATATATATTCATCTTCATTTCCTTCGAGTATTTCTAGTTGATCTAGTACTAATATTTGACAAAAGTGAATCTGCTGCTCTAGACTGTGACTTCCTTCGACGAGTTCTTTTTGGTAGTTTCGAGAGTACAATTTCAAGAAGCTTTTTGAATTTCTTTTGAGCCTTTTCAATATCAATTTCCTTTGGAATAAGGTCAGACAAATAATTACAGTATCTTTCAACATCCATTTCAAGACCTTCTCTGCATGTCATTTCTTCGTATGGTTTAGATTTAAGAAAAGGACATTTGGGTGAATGATTTTTATGTTCTTTGTCTGGATCATCCTGAAATTAAAAACAAAACAAAACAAAAGTACATACACATAAAACAAAGATGAAGATCAGATAATTTCTAAATTAGTGTTTGAACATTATTTACGGGTGTTCAGCCCAAATTAATCTAATGAATAAACATGGAGCATCACGCCATTGGCTTAACTGAACTTTCAACCCACCAATTATTGGTTCGAACTTCACTCCATCCACTAAGTTTTGGATAGTATCATCAGTCTTTGCACAATTAACATTACTTATATGACTGTTGAAATTTCTTCATTTCTCGATGAATATGCTTCTGGCACATCTGTGATAACCATATGATGAGGACATGGAATACGAGAGTGACCATTAGTTACAGTTTAGAAAATATCTTGAGCAAACATTATGACAATGTAGTAAAAGTAAGATGTGGCCACCCACATGTGTGGTAATCTACTAAACCATAAACACCAATCTAACAAATAAGAACTTTCAAGCTGCTATTTCTCTTCGAGCATACTTGGAATAGCGACGATGCACACAAACACAACTGTTTCACAGAACAGTTTAGATGCACATATAGTTTAGTTTTGCATAGTGACACATTTCATGAAGCTAGGAAAAGGAGCATCCAACCATCATCCAAATCAACATAGAACCAGGGATTACTGAGTAACGGTCCGGGTTGCCATAGTTCGTATTAGTACATCAAGTAAAAAGGCAGTGGAGTGAAAGATGAAGAAAAGAAAATTCAGTCAAAAGAAATATGAAGTACGAGAAGAAAGGAAGCAAGAATGAGGAAATGGTGAGAATCGGCATAATGTTAAGATGAGCAAAATGTATGTATACATCTGCGCTATTGACATATCACCTGGAGTCAGTCTCCAACCAACAGTCAAATACTTCATATATTGGTGCCATGTTTTAGTATGGCCACCTCGGGCCTTTTTCCAACCTGTGACGAGGGAATCGGCGACTAGGCATATGTAACACGTGTCCCAACCATCTCAGTTGATGAAGGTTCATAACCTCGTCAACTGACTTACCTCTTCTCCCTAAAACTCTACTCCTGACGTCTGCGTTACGTGGTGACACCACGGAATACGTCCTATAACTACGAGGCAACGGTGGTCAAACACTTGAATCCTTCTCATGTCTTCCACCTTCAATGGACATGTTTCACAGCCATGGAGTAGAACAGACCGGACTGCTGTGCAGTACACGCGACCCTTAATAGACAACCGGATATCACGGCGGCGCCACAAGTGGCGTAAGTTGTCAAAAGCCAGCCAAGCCTTTTGCATTCGTGCAGAGATTTCATCGGCCACTGAGCCACCGATGAGCACCAATACTTCACTCTGGTTGTGCGGAGAAGCGTTCCAAATGTAACATCGCTCTTCAAGTAAGCGAATTCCAAATAAACTACCGATAACTATCTGATTTTGAGGCAGAAGCATTACAAATGAATGATTGGCATATATATCACATGACCCTTATGGACAATGTAAAAATAATATCAATTAGAAGCATATAAGCAGGTGAACATTATCTCACTGCAACATCTAAACTGAAAGAAATGAAGTATCATTAATTTGAATAAACTGCCTATATGTGGCAATAGGATATTAAACCAGCATCAAACGTTTTCGAAATTACACTGATTAGCTAACGAAGTTCAGTCTACAGACCATTTTCTTCAGCTTAACAAACACTAAAATAGCCACATCAATGGGATTGCATCTAATTATCAACGATCATCACACTTAAAGCCGCTGCCGGTAACCGGCACGTTGCCATGTAAGCTTTGTGTAATGTGAATGACGTTAGTGATCAGTATTCCATTCAAATAGTGTGTGAAATGGCATAGTAAGCTAACATAGCAACTGCCTAAATTTCGTATCTTACCCAGTGGATAGATGATTTATGTACTTCTTCTTATCCTCAAGAACCTAATATCTAATGCAGAGCTTTAGAGATCTTGTAGGCATTTTGACGACGACAAATAGAAGTGATGACTCTGTTATCTGTTTTAACGTTGTGAAAGTCAATACACTAGACAGAGCACAGTTATATATCAGTCAAAGTTCCAACATTAAAATTTTCAGCATAGGGAAATCGGTAAGAGAGGAATGGAAGCAAAAATAAAGACAATGATAGCACTAACAGTAAATATAATATTCACGAAATCTTTCGAATGGAATTCGTATTTGCATATTACATATAGCTGAGGCTACGGAAATTATAGAAAAAAACCCAATCTTAGTGCGCAGAAAAAGTTTGTGCAACCTTTATCTCTGTCTCGGGTCAGAGAAAACTTAATAAACAACTTCAAAGATAAATCCAGTTTTTCATCCTTTCCTTTTCTTCCCCCCTTCCACATACATGTAGTAAACTTTGCTCTGACTTTAATTATCTACACTCTTCATTTTTAAGTATTGCGCAACTTTTATTTTTCCAGGCTTCGACCTACATTGAAAATCTGGGAGCGCTGAACAGCTGTTTCATCGTGTATGGGACTCCTCAGCAGTACGCACCCCTCAACCTGACTAGGGATCGAACTCAGGACCTTAGGGTTTCACGGCGAACGCGATAACCATTCAACCACTGGGTGGCAGTTCAGTTGTTCACAGTTTCATACTTCTTACCATTCACGATGTAGCGCGACTATCACCCAAGGTCTTCAGTTGGCATTCACGTGCTGCTGAGGAGCCCTATACTGGACGAAAAAGTTGTCCAGTGCTACCAGGTTCTCCCCAAATATCAGTCCGTAATGAATACTAACCCTAAATTAAAATCCTCACACAGAAATATGTGTTCTCAAAATAATAGATGTGACCCTTTGTCTACCCTGGACTACTTGATCAAGTACAACGATAAATTATTCCTCTCTACTCCATATAAATTACAAATTATTCACAAATAATTTATTATTGTAAAGCATGTTGTTTGTTATGATTGTAGGGGGACTACAAAATGACATCACCTCGTAATATGTCTTCTTGATGCTTTATTTAAGTCGGAAAAGGTGACCGCAAAAAGACTTTACTTCTGAATACAATATATATGCTTATTTAAATTGCTTTTCATTTTATGTTATATCGAGGTGCACAAACATAGTAACACTTCAGATAAAAACTAGAAAATGTATTCCATCACTAAGGTAATTTTAAAAGTAATTCGAATCACAACTTCGTGTCTACAGAATAATCATCAGAAATCGAAGAATATTGAACAATTGTTCAACTGTATCTTAAAACTTCCTGGAAGTAGGTATTAATAAGTCCTCTCGTTATTGAATTTGTAGGTGTAAAGTACGGTTTTGCACTGTCTACATTGATTTTCATATCCTTGAATTCTAAATAGAAATATTCAACATAATAAAGTGAAATGTTTTGTCATATGCTAACAAAAGAAATCATGATTTATCAAAGCAATAACTTACATTAGGTTCCCAACCTTCTAATTCCTTTAAACAAACAAAACATTGAGTTACATCAGGCAACTTTGAATCTGGTCGGAAGAATCCTGATCTGGCCAACTTTTCAGCTGTACATTTCGACTTTCCAACATAAGGCCAATTATTTAGTGTACTCAGTCTATATGAGTATTTAGAAAGAAGAAACTTTTCGCTTAAATGGTTGTCTGACATTGACAAAAATCTGTAGAGTGAGTAAGTTAGAAGAAATATTATTCATAAAATAAACTATTGAATGTAATTTTACATCTAGGCTTTAGTATTTATATACTCAAAGTAAAAAATCTTCGTCTTGTTAACTGTATCATTTCCTCTGAAAATTTCTTCTCAAGTGCATTTGCTTGGAAAGTAAAGTGAACTAGTCATCTTCATCCTCTGGTTTAAAAGCATTTCAACTATCTTGAAATGAATTTTTTTTAATTCTTAGAGCTAAGATTCTAAATATTAATCACAGAGGTCTTCTTACACAATCCACTTATAACAGTTACCAGATTTTTGTGAAGAGTTTACCAGTGTAATATTCCATCAAGCCACAGAACTTGACGTCTACAAAATCTAAGACTGACAGTTCAGTTATAAAAAACTAACGTTCCGGTCTACAGATTTCTCAATAACAAGTATGAAAATGAAATAGGGATTATTTATGCTAGTGATCAGTAGTTAAAGTAAAATTTGTTATTGTTAAGGAAGTATTTATCACACACTAATACCAGGTGGAGAACTATTAAAAAAACCTGGGAGTACTGGACAGCTGTTTCGTCCTAGCATAGGACTCTGCAGCTCCACGCACTCGCGACCTTCAAGTTTAACGGCGAGCACATTGAAATTAAGCCACTGAGTCGAGATCCAATGTACAACACATTCTCTTACGCCTATCCATTCATGATACAATATGACCTTAAAAGAATGCAATCTTTGAGACAAACCAACTCAGACATGAGGAAAATTACTCAATAACTGCAATTCACTAACTTTTTATAAACGTTCACTATCCTTGTTATATATATGGTAAGCCTGATTTACCACATAGGTTTGTTTAGAAAACTGGGTGGGCCTCGAGGCATATCTGCATGTCTCCATCTTTTGGTAAGGAGACTGGAAAGCACAAAGCAGTTGATGACAGTCTACCCTTGGAAAATTTATCTAGGCTCCTGGAAGATACGGAATTCGATGTTAGTAGGCCAGTGTTCTAGAAGCTTGTCACAGTTTCCCACATTTTCAAATGTCACTCACTGTGACATGGATGATCACACAGTAATCTTCTATCGTCCGATACATCTAGCAGCTTTTCACGACCGTCTATCAGCGGTTTGTCTATTTCACCGAAACTACTTGGACTTACTGAAAATACCGAAGTGCAGATAGACGCAGGAAGCTGTTCCTCTTTATTTAGTGAAAGAATGCCGTGATATCGCCGCCATACTCAGCAAGTAGATGGTCAGCGACAATATGCTCGCCTTCACAGACAGTCTTTTGGTTGAATATGATAAGCGTGGCATACCTCCTCAGAGGGATTAGGCTCTGCTAGAGTGGGACAACATCATGCGGTGGGGTAATCTTCATTACTAGATTATTATGATTACTTTAGCTTCCTGGGCCGACTATACACCCCTGTTATTCAAGGAAAGATGTAGTTATTCACAGAGACCAAGATAAACCCAGTCTGAAATATTAACTGTGGCAACTGACCCACCAGGGTTGATTCTACTTCCCAGGTAGGTAAAATGGTCGACACACTCAACCACTGCACTCTCTACTGTTAGCCGTGGCACCGCTGAAGACCAGTCCTGGGGCAAAAATTTGCATTTGGGTGGTGAAAATCGCATCCCAAACATTCTCAAATTTCCACTCAAAGTGTTCAGAAGACTCTGCATCTCATCTGTCAGCGTCTTCACCTAACAGGACTATGTCATCTGCATATTCTAGGTCTCCTGTGATTAGGTCAACGTCTGTGTAATTAGGTGACGAGAGGGAAACCTCCATAAGAATATCTATGATAAAATTAAATAAGAATGGGGATAGTGGGCATCCTTGACGGACACCACTTGATGAGTATAGCTCCCTGGACAACTCACCATAGGCTCTAACATGCCCACAAGTGTTCGAGTAGAGAGCTTTCAATAAGGTGATGTACTTACTAGGCACGCCTTTCAGTGACAGACACTGCCATAAGACTTCTCGATCAACGGAGTCAAATGCCGCCTTCAGGTCGAGAAATACAGCTATTGTCGGGCGTCTGTAAGCATGCCTATGTTCCAGGACCTGGCGCAGTGTGAATATTTGGCCAGGTCTAAAGCCTGCCTGGTTTTCTCGGGCTTGCTGTTCCCGAGCTCCACTCAGGCGTCGGAGAATTATAGAACTTAGGATCTTAGACACTATGTTTGTCAGGCTGATTCCTCTGTGGTTATCACAAGAGGACTTCTCGCCTTTCTTGAAGACTGGGATGATCAGTGACTTAGACCAGTCGGAGGGGATCGTATTTGATTCCCATATACTGGCTAACACTTCCGTTAGCCTGACTAAGAGAACTCTACCACCATTCTTGTATACCTCAGCAGGTAGTCCGTCTGGTCCTGCTGCCCTTCCCCGTTTCAGGCTACCTACCGCTTTCTCAACTTCTTCTAGTGTTGGGGGACCTGTCTCTATGTCCCATTCAGGGTCCGACTGGATAGCGGGCAGCGCAATGGTGGCTGGAGGCCAGTTAAACTGTTCCTCAAAGTGTTCTGCCCATCGTCCCAGTCGTCCCCCCTGCGAGTGAATCTCAGATCCGTCCTTCTCCGCTATAACCTCACTAACTGTTGTTGACCATTCCCCCCCAGTCTCCTTAATAAGTCTAAATAACTGTCTACTGTTACCGATCGCCGCTGCCTTTTCCATCTCTTTAGCCTTTGCTGCCCACCACTGTTCACGATCGTTGCGCAGACTTTTCGTCAGTTTATTTTTAAGTTGCGCTCGCTCTTCATTGTACTCAGAGCCTGCAGGGATGCATTCACGTGCATCCATTAGTTTGGAAGAAGCTGCTGATATCCACTGGCTCTTTTTAGCCATTATCTTGGAGTCGGCTACAGTCTCCAGTGCTGCTTTTACAGTAGACTGAAGATGGCACCAAGCTTCTTCTGGATGAGTGACAGTCTTTTGTTCCGATAACTGCCTAGCCAACTTCTCACTGAACACGGCTTTGGTGTTTTCGTTGTCCAGCAGAACTCGTAGTGGTTTTGTTGCCAAATTTTTTCTACGTCCATTGAGACGCAGGCATATACGTGCTCGGACCAACGCATGATCGCTGTCCAAACACGTACTCCAGAAGGAGCGGCAGTCTTCCACCGATCCTCTCCAGCGATGACTAATAGCAATGTGGTCTATCTGTGTCCATCGCTGAGTCGAGCTCGGTGGACGCCAGGTCAGACAGTGCCTTTCTTTATGTCTGAAATTTGTGCTGGCTAAAAATAGGCGGTTATCTGAGCATAGTTGTAATAGGCGATCACCGTTATCTGTACGTTCAGCTGGGATTCCGAAAGTGCCACCTAAGTGCCTTTCTGCCTCACTCAGTCTACCCACCTGTGCGTTGAGGTCACCTGCAACAACCACTACGTCCGAACGTTTGGCTTTCGAGAGGAGGTTAGACAGTTTATGGTAGAACTCGTCCTTCACTTCATCCGAACTACAGTCAGTGGGTGCGTAAGCAGAGATTACAAAGAGACAACGGCGAGTCTCACTATTCCTTTTAGTTCTCACTGTGCCGTTCAGCCTCATAGCGCAGAGGCGACTATCAACTGGGATCCAGTCTAGTAGTGAGTTTTCTGCCCTGGTGCTTAATGCTATACCTACACCTGCAAGACCACGAGAGCTAGCTATCGAATCTCCAGAAACTCGAAGGGTGAATTTTGCAGATTCACCAGATTGGTCAGGAGAGGTCAGGTGAATAACCACACTTGGGTCCTGTATGCGTGTCTCACAAACACAGCACACATCCATGGCCCGAGTTGCTAGAGTCTTTGCCAACGAAGCCTGTTGGCCAATTTGACGGAGGGTGCGGACATTGAAGGCTCCAATATGTAATTTGGAGCGTGGTTTAAGGAGACCAGGGATGCTGTTCTGTGGACTCAGATCGTTGTCGAAGGCTGCAGAGGTAGGAGAAATTGAAGATGATGCAGCATCATTAATTAAGAGACGTGAAGGAAGATTAGAAGGTAATGATGGAGGAGGAGGATAGCAGTCAGAAGAAACTTGGGTGCTGACAGAGTTGTGAGGGCGGTTGACACTTCCCGGCTGCCCACACCGTGGAAGGCTATTTCTTCTTAAGGTACCTGAAAGAGATTTGTGTGACCGCAGAGCCCATCGGACATCTGCTTGAGGCCTGTCACACCCAGCCTTTTGAGTATGATTATTTTGAACTTTTGTATTTTTGGGGCCGGATGGTCGAAAGGAAACGACAAGTGAACCAACACCGCCGGCCCGGCAGACCATGGGGCATGGTGGAATGTGTTATTTTTGGGGCCGACTTTTTCTAACCCCCTTTCCACTGAGAAGGCAGAATCAACATGGCACTGCTGGTCATCCAAGGGAAACACCTTACTGCTGTCACACCCCATCCAGCTAGCAGCAGTACGACTTCGCCCTCAGACCCCCAGCATAGTGTAGCAATTTACACTACAACAGTAACTTTTCGTCCAACCACTATCCAACAGACCTTTCTGGTATAGTAGGACCTCGAGGAAACAAGCGTCCCACCAGCATAGCTCGTTGGGTCATTGTGATATGCAAGCCCGACCACCACGTCAAGGTAGCAGCTATCGGTCGGGACTTGGACTTACTGAAAATGCTGAAGTGCAGATAGACGCAGGAAGCTGTTCTTCTTTATTTAGTAAGAACCGAAATGACAGTTCCACAGAAGACTAGTTTATTAGGTATATCATACTGACTGACCGACGAAATTAACGTAGAACCTCGCACATAGGTGCATCGATTGTCACACTTCATAGTAGTACATAGAACAGAATTTGCCTACAATAATGCCACCGGTGCTCAATATCTACACACACAGAAATGATAGTAATGAGCAGTATATCTTAATATTCGCTAACTGGCTTCCTTCTAGACACCATTCATGGAAGTCAGACAAATAGGATCAACATAGGAACCGGCATTGCTGCGCAACTGACCAGATTGCTACACCACATCAAGCAGTAAGATGAAAGATTATGAAATGAACAGTCGATCATACTAATACAAAGTCATCAACAGAAGACAGTGAAGAATAAGAAAATATCGAATTCAATACCACAACTAAGATAAGAGCAGTGCGTCAATACAACCCATTACGCAAAAACATTCTCCAAAATGCCACCTAGTCTCCAACCACTGAGTCAATAATCAACTGAATATCGACCAGGAAATAGACATTTCTCTACACTATCCATATCACTAGTCGAAGACATCTAGCGCTGATGTTGAGCATTATTATGGCGGTCCGTAACTTTTTCCCAGCCTAAATATACTTTGAAAAACACTGCGACGAAACATTAGTAACTAAAGTCCCAGTCACTTCAGTCGATAAAGGTTCCCAACCTCACTGACTGACTTCCCTTTCTCCCTAAGACTCTACACTGGACTTCAACATTACTGACGTGGTAACAACACAACACAAAGTTCATGTTGAGAAGGCAACCATGGTAGAATAACTGAAGCCTTCTAATGTCCTCTACTTAGAATGGCAATTTTTGGTCATGCAGTAGAGAACAGCGAACTGCTGGACAATATACTCGACTCTTAGTAGGTAATTGGATATCACGACGGCACCATCAAAACGAAACGCACTCAACCACTTTGTACAC